TTGTATTGATCTAGTTAGAATCATAAAAAATGGCAAAAATCGCGCTAAGTTTATTTATTTAACACCTGTGTAAAATCTGAGTTTATTTGCGGCAAAATACAAAATCTGCATACGAAAGCTGAACTCTTTACCTTTAAAACGCATCTTGATTTTTGTCGATAGGAAATTTGGATCAAAATATATCGAATTTTTAGCGTCGAGCTGATACAAATTTTATTGAATATTGATTTCGCCCGCGTAACTGACATGCAAAATGGATGGTCGCATCAAGCGTTGTTTCTAAGAGAACGGTTGATTATATACAAAAACTGCTTATAAACATTTTTGTTTAACATTATCTCACTACAGTTTTTGTTTGAAACATTTTTTCTACGGTGTACAGATTCTTGGTAAATTGATTTTTTTTTGTAACAATAAAACACTGAAAACTTTGTTTTCAAACTTCCACACAATTTATTTTAAATCTTATCACTACAGCTGTTTCGGCTGATTGCCTTTCTCAAGTGATCTATTTTTGGCTTGGGTTTACAAATTTATAGTCTCTAATGAAATAGGTTGAGGAGGGGAGAACTGTTTGTCTCAAGTTGGTCATTTAGAATTATATCTGTGTTTTTTAATTTGTTAATTTTCATAGATTCTAACAAAGATAGCTTAAGGCCTTTATTTTGAATGTGAAGAATTTTAAATTTGTCATTAAAAGAATGATTATGATCTAGAAGGTGAAGTGCGTATGTCGAATATGTTTTTCTATTCTTCTAATTCCATCAAGTAACGGTCGAATCCATCAATGTTTTTTTTTGTGTTTTTACCCCCCTGTGAGGGGAGTTTTAGGGGAAGCTTTGGGGTAAAAGTGGTAAACTTTTATGCACCTTTTTTCGGGTTCCAAAATAATATTCTCGGCAAAATTCAGCTTGTTCTTATGATTTTTAGAGGTTTGGTAGCATTTTCCTATCTGACGACTGGAATAATTATACAATAATGTCACTACTTTTGTGAACACTTTAACTAAAAGAAAAATAGTTTGGCAGCTGAATACCTGTCTGTATACATGGAAGGATAAATAGTAAAGAACTATTGTACCTTTTGTAAAATTTTTCAATGAATACGAATATATAGGTCGCCCAAGTGGTAACCATTTGTTATTTATACATTTTTTATAAATACCTGTATAAATAAATTTTCAAAGTTATTAACAATTTAAAGTCGTGAAAGTTTAGAAGATTTGGTCTAACTTTGAGTCGTCATAACTTTTTAAATAGAGCATATTTCTCTAACAGCTGCACATAAAAAGTTTTAACCTATTTTGACAATTTACTATTGAAAAAAATGGAAAAAACTTACTTTTTTATTGCGGTAACAAGCAATAATCAAATAGTTTTTCGGCTTTGCAGAATCAACAAATACACGACGTGCTGCGCAGTAGTCATCTGCGTACATCTGTCGTCATTAGCGCTACGAAAACTGTTGATGAACTTTTTATATAGAATATATACAGCATTTTGAAGTTTTTTTTATTTGACATCAATATGATGTTCTCATTATTACAATCTGGTCTATTATAAGAACAATAAGCAATTTAATTCTAGCATAACTTAACTAAAAGAGTCCAATAATACCAAGTTACACTATTTAGCGTTCATAGTTTTAATATCTTAAATTAGTATACCACTTTCAGTTGTACAAGTGCGTAGTAACCTTGCGGTATACTATAATTATTCATAATATACATACTACATTCAAACGTATTATAATTTTATATAAAATATTTTTTATAACAAGTCTATAACACCTAATTTAATAAATTAAATAAAATTAAATAAAATTGAATAAAATTATAAACAATTATAAAAAATTTAAAAAAATTATAAAAAATAAAAAAAATGTAAAAATTAAATAAAATTATATCAAATTAAATAAAATTAGATTAAATTAAATTAAATTAAATGAATTAAAATAAACAAAAGTTTGTTTTAGAAATTTTATAGTGTTTTATGGATAAGTATTAACAAATGAAAAGGTTTCAATGAAAATTAATTAATATACCTCCCATTATTCATGATTATTTTTAAAATATAATGATAATCAAATTGAAATAATTTTATATTACTATGTTTACAAATTTTGAAAATTACTTAAATTATTTAACAACATTTTTAAAGAAAATTATTATGATTTTTAAAATTTAAAAACTTAGTGTACAGGCATAAAATTTCATTAACCACATATACCTAGTCCTCCTCAATCCTTTAGCCCTTGTCAGGGCGTAGTGACACCCTAAATATTGTTAGTCTGCTGTCTCCATTGACTGCGATCTTGTGCCATATGGACGGCTTCATGTAGGGATTTTCCCACCAAACTCTTCATTTGGTCTACCCATCGTATTGGAGATCTTCCTCTTGGTCTTCGGCCTTCTACCTTTCCTTCTACTACCAATAGTTCCATGGTGCCCGTTCTTCTAGCTATGTGGCCGAAGTAAGTTAGGTATGCTTGGTTTACTTTTTTTAGTAGCCTGTCTTTTATATGAAGCTCTTCCAGAATTGACAGGTTGGTTCTATGTTCTGTCCAGGACACGCGTAGAATTCTTCTATATACCCACATTTCGAAGGCTTCGATCTTACTCCTATCGATTTTTTTGAGAGTCCATGTTTCAGCTGCATATGTAGCAATGGGAAAAATAAGGGCATTGACCAACCTGAGCTTAGTATTCCTTGTTATTGTTCGGTCTTTCCATATTTTAATTAATTTAGCAGTTGCGGTTCGGGCCATTCCTAGTCTACGTTTGATTTCTGAGGAACAATCACCATTGTTGGTTATCAGAGAGCCCAAGTATACAAATCTGTCGACTACTTCGAAAATCCCTATTTGGCGTATATGCGGTAGATTATTATTTGCTCTGTCTACAATCATTATTTTTGTTTTTCCGGTGTTGATTTGAAGTCCGAATTCTTCACTTATTCGGCTTAGCCGTTCGATGATGGTAATCATTTCGACTTCATTCGCTGCTAGTATAAGTGTGTCATCTGCGTATCGCAGGTTACTGATTTTTCTGCCTCCTATAGTGATTCCTCCATCCCATTCATCTAGTACTTTTCTCATTATATATTCAGAATATATGTTGTACAATAATGGTGATAGTATGCAACCTTGTCTAGTTCCTTTCTCTGTTTTGAATGCATTTGAATATATTCCATGTACTTTAACTTTGGCTGAGTTTTTATTATACAGATTTCTTATTAGGTTAACTAGGTGGTTAGGTACTCCCATATTTTCCATTATACTCCAGAGAGGATCCCATTTTACTGAATCAAAAGCCTTTGTGTAATCTACAAAACAGAGCAACATTGGTATGTTATGTTCTCTCGCTTTTTCTACTATCTGTCTGGTGTTGAGTATTTGCTCACGCGTTCCCTTTCCTGGTACAAATCCACATTGTTCTTCGGCTATCTCTGGAAGTAGAAAGTTCTTTAGCCGTTCATTGATTATATGTAGCAGGATTTTGCTTGCATGAGGGATAAGGGCAACGGTTCTGTAATTGCTGCATATGGTTAGTGATCCTTTTTTATGGATAGGGATCAAGGTTGATTCACACCACTCATCAGGCCATTCACCTGTGATCCATATCATGTTGCACATATCCAGCATTACATCTACGCCAATTTCGCCTATTGCTTTTAGAGTCTCCGCTGTTATGCCATCGATTCCTGGAGTTTTTTTGTTTCTTAGTTGGTTAAGAGCCTTCTCTACTTCTGCTCGTAAAATGATTGGTTCAGCCTCTCTGATTGCATGTTTTTTGTGTTCTGAGACTCATGCGTAATCTTTTGAAGTGTCTTTGTATAATTCTGAGCAGTAATTTTTCCAGGTCTCTGCGATGCTCTCTATGTCGGTTTTTACTTCTCCATTAGAGTCTTGAATAGCTTGAAGTTGTGGCTTGAACTCTCGGGCTAAATATTTAACTTTTTTAAATAGTTCATGACTTTCATGGCGGTTTGTATGTTGCTCCAGTTCTTGACACACGTTATTTATATGGTTGTTTTTATCTCTGATGCAGATACATTTTATTTTCCTGTTTATCTCCGCTATTTCTTGAGTGTTGCTTCCTGTTTTTGAGATATGTTGTAGCATAACTCTTCTTTTTTCCACTAACTCTAGTGCTTCCCCTGACATCCAATGTTTATTCTTTTGGGTTTTACGCGGTGTGCACTCTTTTTCCACTGCATATATCCAGCTTTTTATTCCATTCCACGTTTTATTTGTGTCTTCTAATACTTGTGGTTTTTCTTTGCTTATCAGTTTCATCTGGAATTATTCTGCATTACTTACCCTTATCTGTTTTGTCTGATGTATTTTTCTAGTTGTGTGTAGTCTGAGCCTGCAGTTCATTTTTAGTAGTTTATGATCTGATCCACAATATGCTCCAGGCATAGCTTTTACATTTGTTATTGAGGTTTTCCATCTTTTCCGCACGAGTATGTAATCGATTTGATTTTTGTGTTCTTTATTTGGACTAGTCCATGTTGAGAGCCTTCTTGGGTGGTGTTTATAAAGGGTATTTGTTATCACTAAATTATATACCTAGTAATAACACAATATAAGAAATATAACTGTCAGCACTCCCCAAGTGCCACGATCTTCTTTTTAAGTATTTTAACCGAGCTTTACGATAGGACTGGTTATAAGTCAAAATATTCAAATTTGAAAATTTATTTATAAAAAAATTGTTTGTAACAGTTGGTACCACTTTTTGAGATAAGGGACCTGCATATTAGTATTCAGCGAAAAATTTTACATAATATAAAATAGTTTACAAGTATCCAAACTTCCATGTAAACAGAAAGGCATCCAGCAGCCGAAGCAATAATACCAGAAGAACTATATTAAAAGATCTAGATTCCATAAGCTTATTACCAAAGAATTAAATAAGGGAAAAATTCTGTTTTCAATTTTATACTATTTGTGTTTGATCGGATACTTATTTTGATTTGCTTTATGTTTGATTTCAGGAACTCGAATGGGAACCCAAAATATAGCGTTTGGAGACAAAGTCTTCCGCAAATAATTGCAGTTTTTATAAAGAATACCTTACTGTTTATCCATGGTATGAGCTTGGGATTTCCGACAATTTTGGTACCAGGAATATCTGGAAATGACCGTTCCGAAACGATTCTATTCGGTCAAGATGAAATATCCTGGATTGGTAAGTACATAGTTGATAATTTGGTTTTGACTCAGTCTGACTGTCATGGTCATAGATTTTCATATTTGGTAACATTAAACACATGTCATCCATGTCCATAGCAAATAATATATACATCTTCTATCTTTTTCTTTATGTGCCATCTCCTCTAAGAAGGTTGGCAATCATCATGGCAACTCGCACTTTCGATACCGCTGCTCTAAAGAGGTCAGCAGAATGCAGTTAAACCAAGCTCTCAGATTGTTTAACCAGGAGATGCATCTTCTTCCGCGACTCCTCTAGCCTGTATTCTTCCTTGCATTATTCATTGCAACAAGTTATAACGTTCGCCCCTCATGATATGTCCCAGATATTGCAGTTTTCTGACTTTAATTGTATTTAAAACCTCTTTGTCTTTTCCCATTCTTCTTAACACCTCGATATTTGTGACTCTATCCACCCAACTTATTCTTAATATCCTTCTGTAGGCCCATAACTCGAAGGCTTCTAATCTGTCCGAAACATCTTTCTTTAATGTCCAAGCCTCCAACCCATAAAATAATACGGAGAACACGTAGTATCTCAGAAGTCTTATATTTAAAGAAATTGAAATTTCCCTGCTGAAGAGTGCTTTTTTCAGCTTGTTGAAAGAATTTCTTGCCTGTCCTATTCTTGCCTTAATTTCTTCTACATCTTCTATAAAAGCTTGCTATTTCTTCGATGTATTTATAACTATTTATTTAGTAGCAGTACGATTGGACAGTTGTTGTGTACGAATTCAGTAACGGCACCGTACTATGAATTCGTATAAATCGAATTTATTTCGACCTCGTTTTGACATCTTCAGATGAGGGATAGCTGAATAAGAACTCCAACACCAAACCATCAAACGTTAACAGAATGTGTTCCACCTCAGCGGTAATCGTACAAAGTGTACTTGGACGGCCATGAACGAATATAATTGATTATTTATCGCTTTTCTAGAAGGAATATAATAAAAAGGGCAGATGTAGGGATGACATCAGTAGTAGAGAAAATGATAGGTATCATGTGAGTCTTTTTATTCTTCATTGTCTCCTTATTTGTATTTTAGATGTCCATATTTGGCAATCTTTTCGTTGTATTTATCACCCACAATATTGTTGTTGGGTATCACCAAATGAATTGGTAAATTTTGTCTAGTTTATTTATTAATTAATATAAGATCTGATCTATTATGTAGAACTAGTTCATTTGTGAGCACAGCGCGATCCCAAGTATAGCTAGATGTTATTCTCAAGCATACCTTCAGAGTCGTATTGATAATATTCAAGGGAGATGGTTACTTTGGAGAAGTCTCAGTTGTAACAAATGCCTGGCAGCTCCTGGTAAGATATTGGATGGTTTCTTAAACCTGACATCCATTTTGGTTTTATCGTTTTGCATCTGAGGATATTTGACGATTCAGTTAATTTTTGGTTGATAGTTAAAACTTGATCCTAAATGATAAATATGGAACCTTTTATTTCAGGGAATCTTTCTTGGCGTTAATCAATAGTTAGATACTATATTTTTGATTTAGTCTTGATTGACTAAATTAATCCAGGTGTGTATTTTTTATAATAAAATTTACATACTCCAGAAGATGAGGTCTATTTTGGACACCAGGTAGCATAATTACCACAGTCGTTATTACATTCGTATTCAGCGACCTCGAAAACTCCCCTGTAATAAAGTTGACCTCATTCCTGTCGATATTTTCTGAGTTGCAATTTTTTTATTTTCTATATACTTTGGAAAAGCATTTTCCCTACGCACAAAATGCAATTTTCATTTTACTAACATGAATTTTGTTCACAAACTTTCCTGACACTTCCCGAATTCATTTTGCTGTGGAAAATTGTAAGGTTTAGTGCTTCATTTCTCCGTCTAATTTTTGTATCGCGGCCTGCTAAATGAGTTTTTCAAGTAGACTCTTGTACAGCACGTGCTATTTCGCTTACTTCGTTGTCCTGCTGCGTATTATCAACTTGACTTAAACCCCAGAAATCTGTTTGTGTATTTCATTAGATTTACAACTACTTCTTGGTTATGAATCTTCAGCTCGTCTTCGCTTTTGATGGTATTGCGTCTGGTCTGTGACATAAAAGTGTTTCGTTTAATTACCCAGTATTAATCTGCTAGGGTATAATACTTCCTACAAAATTTGGAACTCAGGTGTTGTTGATAACCCAAATTTCTGGACCTTGTTTTGTGGCCTTGTAATAGAAGCGCAAAATATGTTCATTTATAGACACAGTCTATTTTAAGCGCATATTAATATTTAAAAGTTGACAGCGTTTTTCATGTTTTAAAATAAGGACACAAACAATTTTATTTCAAAGTGGTTTCCACTCTGTATAATTTAAAAATTTCATCCTTTACCATTCATAATAAAACCTACATGATATAGTTCAGGTTCTTAAATATGTAGCTTTTAAAAATATTAAAATATACAGATTATGGACTATGCTAGACTTGCGAGAATTAGCCTGTAGATTTAATTTATATTTAAAAAGCTTACATTTATATTTAAAAGTTAAAATTTTTGAAAATAAGGCCACAAAAAATTTTAGTCACTCACTGAAGGTACTCTAAACTTAATGGCCTAGCATTTCTTGTAATAAAAAAAAAGAACTATATTATCCCTAAAAATTGGAACAAACATTTTAAATTTTTTTCAGAAATAGATCTATTACTTTGTATATTTTTTTATTTTAAATGTAAAATTTTTTATACAATTGTTTTATTTGTTAGTGAGTTCTAATCTTTTATAACTTCGTCATTGATGAAGATAATTCAATTAAGTCAATTCAACAAATCTTTCGACTAAAATAAAATAGTAAAACATAAATATATAAAATATAGTAATCAAGGAACGAAGTCTTTTATAACTTCATTTTTACATTAAACCAAGCTAAATTGGCCACACTATGTATATCCACTTCCTATATAAAACACTTACTTGCAGGTTCTATAAATCTAATATTTATACCCATGGGTTGCTTGATCTCTGGTTCCATCACGCAAGCCATTGGAAGGAAAAGAGCAATGCAGATTATTAACATACCATTTATTGTATCGTGGCTGCTTTTCCACTTTTCCACGAAATCTTGGATAATTTTTGTTGCTGCGTCCATATTAGGGTTCAGCGGCGGTTTATTGGAGGCCCCAGTAAGTAATCTTATGTTTTGTTTATTTATTTTTCTTAGGTTGTGAACAAAGTACTGGAGTATTTACTTAAAAAATTGGATTAAAACTTGTTTAATGTAAATATAAAAGGGTGGTACTTAAAAAAATAAATGACGGTTGCATTTCGATTTAATTTGAGTCTCTTACCACCCCCTTACACGTGTTTCTGGGTCTACCGGTCATCAGAGAGAGTTTGCAAGAACACTCAAACCAAATCAAAACAGACCGACTACTAAGGCAATTATAGGAAAATAATTACCAGAGTATGTTACCAGAGACCTCTAGTGAGGAAAGATGAAGTTAAATATCGATAGCAATTAAAGTAAACTGTATAAATTACTATCATTTTTGGACTCATTGTGTCGAGTAAGAACAATAACAAAATAAACAATACCTTTATTTTATTATTGTCCTTACTCGACGCAATGAGTACAAAAATGATAATAATTTATATGGGTAAATTGTTGATGAATAGTGGAATATAAATATTCTTTTTACGATATTCTTTTTGTACTAATAACAAAAATTTAAAAAAAGGATAAGGTCCAGGTTAGTGAATTAGTATAAGCTTTCGGAAAATTATATTTCCTTTTTCAAAATATTTTACAATGTAATAAATGAAAAAAAAAATTAAGATCTACAAATGTAATGGGCCTTTGTAGAAACTTTTCAAAAGTTAGATAAAAAATACATATTACAGAGATCCATTACATTTGTACATCTTCTAATGTTATTCTTTTATTGCATTGTAAGAAATTCTTGAAAAAGGAAATAAAATTTTCCGAAAGCTTGAATCTTCAAATTGCAAATAGTATGTGTGTTGTAAAGAAACTTCTGCAAAAAGTCCAAAATAAACTATCTGCTGCATTTTGACGATGATTCCATAAGTTTAAAGAAAATGCTGAATGTCGCCTAAGACCATTTCTGAATTCACTAAAATTTCAGTAAGTTTTGTCATCAAATTCAGGAAAAATTCCTGCAACTTGTAAATATGCATGAGTTGTTTCTTTAATTAGGAGTAGTAATATTAAAGTTAGCATTTTAACGCAAACTGCAAAATTTTCCACGTTAGAATTAAATTTACGGTTTAAACAAATTTCTCCTAGCTTTCGAATCACTGATTGAATTAAATGAAAAAAACCATCCTTTTGCTATTACTAATATGTGGTCTGGTTACGTTCTCAGCGGCCTGGAACTAGCCATATTATTTTATGTTGCTTTTTATGTTGGAATTCTGTAATGACAAAGTGTGTATTTGTCTGCGAAGCTAAGTTGTATATTCTTTCATTGTATTGTTTTTCATATGTTCTGATTTTTATCCATGCCATCCGTGCTTGTTCCTTCTCTATTTTTTTGGCCTTGCATTATTTATCAAACCACTCTTTTGATTCACTCTTGGCATTGAAGTCTTCGATTATCATCAGAATGTCGTTTCTGGGTACGATTTAACAAGGTTCTTCTCACTGCTCGTGGAAGTTAAATTTGTCTTTATTACTTGCATCTTCTGTTGGATCTTAAACCTTTTTTATTGGCATATTCGCTTGTGTGTTCCTGATTTTAATATATGAAATTCTTCCACTAATTCTGCTGAAATCCATGACATTGCTTCTTAGTTTGTTGCTGATCATAAATGCAGTTTTATATTTTCCCTAGTTATTTTCTCAGGAATAATGCAGTGTAAAGCTGTTCTTTTCTATTTCCCTCCTCCTTTTGTATCTTATTTCCTGAAGTGTCAAGATAATCTCATATTTTGGGCTTATTCCCGCATTTTCACACTACTAGCATAGTTTTCACATGAAATTGTATTATACCGTTATTAAAAGTACCCATGCACACATGACAAGTAACATAGTAATCAGTATGAAAAATGGAAAGAAAATTGAACAGATGGATTTATAATACTGCAGACAAAATAGCAGAATAGAAAGCAAATGGATGTAGGCACTGGTCTGCAAACATGCGCTAAATACTATAGCAATATACGATACCCATACTAGCGTGTACTCGGACTCAAACGTACGAATAAATGTTTTTTTTTATCATATAAATAAGCATGTTATAGTCAGATGGGATGAAGGCGAACACTTATATCTTATTTTTGATGCTTAACTCAAACGAAATTTTAAGTCATCTCTATGGTTTAGAAAACACAATCCTGATCTATGCTTTGGTCAAGTAAGTGTAACAATGCTCCTCTAAAAGCTGAAAGAAGAGTGTTTTGAGAATTTTCTGAGAAGAGAGAGAGAGAGAAGAGAGAGTTTTGAGAAGAGCTGTAGAATTTTCAAGTAGCTAGTCACGCAGAGTTATTGTAGAGACGTTAATACAGATCCTAATCTCTAACCATTCCGAAAACAATATATCCTTGGTTGGTGTGAAAATAGCAACGAGCAAAAAGGCAGAAGAGGGAATGTAAAAGTAGTGGGAGCAAAAATATTGTTAGACGGGATGTGTTATTTTGAGAGGCCACATTATACATGGAAAGAGAGTCACTTTCCTTGTTTAAGAAATCAAATTAAGTTGGGTTATCTTATTGTTTGTCCCAACTGCCACATAAAAGCTTATTTATATTGAAGTTTTTTAACAATTGTGTCACATTTTAGACTATTATCGTTATTATTCAAATTTTCTCGTCTTAGACTCATTTTGAAAAATATTTTATAGCTACTTTAAATTTGGCGCCTTTGCATTCCCGAATATGTCCTCCATATTAAGAGACCTCTTTTAAGAATCTTGGTCTCCTTTTCATAACGATTAGATTTCCTCTTTTGTCTTTTTGCTCGATGGAAAATAGTGAGATTCTATATCATAATGTACATATCATAATGTAATGAGTGTCAGCTTGTCAGAGTGTCCACTTCCTCATTGCCACTCTTTCTCGTATGGGAAGGTACGCAGATAAAGGAAATAGTTTTTGTTGAGCATGTAGATAAGATAATTTTTCTTTAATCTTGAGAAATATAGCGTGAGTTGTATATAACCGTTTTATTCCAAGTGTACTCATTGAATTTATGATGATAACAAATTTGCTTTCACAGACAAAATTACATTTTTTATGGCCTGGTGAATTGCCGTAATTTCTTCGGTATATACACAACAATTTGTTAAAATTCGTACTATGGACTTGATGTTTTCGCAGATATGGTCTGCATCACATTTGAAAGCATTAGTGAAGGTTGAATGGGTTGTTTGGTATTTGGGTATTAAATTTTTAAAAGATTGCTGGATAAGAAAAGAATGTGTGGAATGTTTTGGATCTTTTTTGGAGACGTATCTATTTTTTGGAGATTTGATCATCCACGGAGGGAAATTTACACGAATAGGCAAAGTCAAGACTGAATTATTCTAAAGTAAGACCACTACATTTTATTCGCTCAGGAAATGGTAGAATCTTTCTTTCCATGTTTTTGTAATGGTCGAAAGATACATTTTTTCTGTAAAACATTGTTAAGTAGGCTACATTGCTTTCGTTTACTGAAATTCTGGCAACGTAATTTAGTGACAGGAGTTGTTTTTGTTGGCTTAAGGGGAGTTCATTAGCCAGAACTTCTAAGCTAATTACTAGATTGGTTCTTGTGCTATTTGAAACGAATCTCAAACATGTATTTTGAATATAGTCAAGTGATTTAAAGATGTTCTATTACCAGTCCGTAGCATAAACAGCCAGAGTTTAAGTCACTTCATATTAATGATATAAGTAATGTTGTTGTATCAGCCCCCCCCCCCCCCAAGAGATACTTGACTACATTTTGAGTAAGTTAGTTCTGGATTGACAAGAACATTGCAGATTGGTTATGTGGCTCTTCCATTTTAAGTTACGTTCAGGAAAAACTACTAAGAAATGTATTTCTTTTGTCTATTGCAGGTTAACTCAGTTTAATGTTAATTAAAGATTAGGATAATTGTTTTTGCTAAAAATTAAATAACGTGTCTTTTCACCAGAGAATATAAAACCCGTGTTTTGAGATCAGCTTTCAATTGTGCTTAAGATAGTTTGTAAAATATGTGATCCCAAAGTTACATATTTGTTTTTAGATAAATGACCAAGTGATGTGCATATAGACTAGTAAGTACAGGTGGCTTTATTTGACTTATAATACTATTTGTTGCAATTAGGAAGAGTGTTGGACTTAGAGTAGATTCTTATGAAGAGCCGTTTTAAAGTACTCGTCTAGAAGATGTAAATCCATTGATTCTGACACGAAAAGTTTTTGCTAGAAAATTTTTAATAAAGGAGAGCATATATAATGAACATTCTAATATTGAAGTGTTTTGTAAGACTCGCATGTTATTAGATTGTCTATTGTGGATCTACTTATATGAAATCCATCCACTTTATAAGTTTGCAGGTGCAGCACGTAAGTGATAATGGACGATAGGAATTTGGATCGTCTTTTATTATATTTAGGGGTTGGAATTATAGTTGCCTACGACTATAGATCAGGAACGTCATGGTGAATAAAAATATTATTAAAAACATCAACTAACATTAGTTTTGCATTCAGAGGAAGATTTCGCAAAAAAATAGGGTGGATATCATCAGGTCCTGGCGTCAAATTTTTACATTTAAATATAATTCTAATTCCTGAAGACTTACAGGTTTTTTTTATTGGATTGTCGTTCTTGGTTATTTGTATATTTAAACCCTCCATTAGTCTTTTGTGTTTTAGAAAAGATATGCTATAATAATTGGAATCACTGGAATTGTTCGATATGTTACCTCAAGAAGTGAAAAAAGTTATTGAAGACATGTACTATGTACTTTTTCCAACTTTCTCGTTTTCTTTTTTTGATTAATTGTCTGCTTTGAGCTCTGAAATTTTTAAAAATTAAAAGGCTATCGTTAGTTTTATATTTTTTGTAAACTTTTAAAAAATGTTTAGACAAAGTGAGTGCCTGTGCAATTGCGTTATTCCACCAATTAACTGGCAGCCGTTTTGTTGGTTTTGTTTTTCCCACTGAGATTGTTGTTAAACACCTTTATTTGGCGGCATTGACCCTGATCCGCTTCTCTACTGTGGAAAATAAGTAAAGTAGTGTTTAGCATATTTCTTTGTGAATATATTCAGCCTGATGAAATTTATAAATAGCTATACCAAAAGAGGAAAACCCATCTAACTAAGAAGTTTTACTGTACATTTGGCGACCAATTTCGGAGTCTTCACTTTCAGGTCTTCAATTAAGCTTACTTAACTGAAAACCTCATTATCAGCTGAAAATTTTAGAGCCTGAAATCGGTTGTCCAATGTACAATAAAACAAATTGTGAGTCTTTTCTTTCCATTTCTTACCTATTTAGAAAATGGACTCACATGTGCAAACAAACCATTATTTAAAAAATACGTAACACTTATATGAAACTCTTTTTTAGGTATTAACATACGTAGCAGAGGTAACCCAACCACATCTTCGAGGAATTCTCTCATGCACTGGCACCATGACCGTCACATTGGGAATGTTAAGCCAGTTTATCTTGGGATCATTTATGAAATGGCGTACAGTGACCCTGGTTAATTGTTTTATACCCATCATTTCATTTCTTTTGCTGATGATTGTACCAGAAACACCTGTGTGGCTACTATCTAAAAATCGCATAGAAGAAGCCAAGAAAAGTATAGCGTGGTTAAGGGGATGGACTGCTATAGAAGATATTCAAGATGAATTTCAAGAACTGCATAAGCAGATTTATAATGAAAAAGAATCAGGCAATTTTAAAGAAGTGATTTCGCAGAAATTGAAAAATTTGAAGCTTTTTTCGAAACGTATCTTCATATATCCAAGTTCCCTATTAGCTTTTGTATTTTTCCTTGGACATTTTAATGGATACGGGCCATTCCAAGTTTATGCCATTAAAATATTTCAACAGATGAAAGTTTCGATTGATCCTTACTATTTAACGATTATTTTGGGAGTAATGCAACTTCTGGGAAGTTTTGTGTGCGTTACTTCTATCAGATTTTTAGGAAAAAGAACTTTAACCTTTTTTTCACTATGTATGTCAGGAATTTGTTGTTTAATAGTAGGCATATATGCTTATAACAAAAATATTCTTAAATTTGATCCATCGGGAGTCAGCGAAGAGCCAGTAAATTTGGAACAAGGTAACTGGATACCTGCAGCATGCCTAATCTTATTTGGATTCTTCGCATATGTAGGAATCAAGGGGTTGCCATTTATATTAATTGGTGAGCTATTTGCTGTAGAAATACGAGCATTTTCTTCTGGTTTTTCTGCAGGGGTAGGGTATGTATTCGGTTTTATTGCAAACAAAACTTTCTTAGGAATGGTATCAAACTTTGGTTTCCCTTGGGTATTTTGGTTTTATACTACTGTAGGCTTATTGGGGGCTATAGGTTTATATTTCGTTCTTCCCGAAACTGAGGGAAAGACGCTGTATGAAATAAGCGAACACTTTGCTGGAAGATCCAAGTTAAGCAACAGTGTTAGAAGAAACAAGAAAAAAGGATCACAAGAAAACGGATGCCATAATGTTGCATTTGATGCAGAAGAAGGAGCCGAAAGAATAGAAAGCAAATTATGATATGAAATTATTGTAGGATTAATTTGGTGTACTTGTATAGTCAAGTAAAGTTATTTTATTTTACAAAATAGTGTTTTGTAAACACAACACGAATGTTATTTATTTTTGAAAAATTGATAAGTGTTGAAAGTAGGTTAAGTCATAATTCTTTTATTTATTGAATTGTTTTAAAAAGGTTACTCGAATATTTGAAATTGATGATGTGTTTGTTTCTATTATTATGTAATATATTTTTATTTGATAAAAATACTTTTTTATGTAAAATGGCTGGTTTTTTTTATATAAATAAGCATTTCCCAATTTTTTACTTTATGTCTCATCTTCAGCTATACAACTGAACTACATGCACTTAAATAAAGGACATTCAATATAAAATACATACTTTGCAAGAGTAACCATCCTGCAAATTATAAAGGTTGTTAACTTTTACACCAAAATAAAGTTCTCCTACAGCTCATATAAATTCTGGACATTTATAACCCGGTAATAATTATTATGCTCAGGTTACAAAGAATCAGCCACAAGAAATATTAAATAGTGCAGCAAGCACACAAAGAGTTCAAAATACGAATCATATGGAAGAACTTCTTACAACTCTGTCATGACCAAATTAACAAAATGATTAAGTTGCTTAAATAGCTGTATGGAATGCCAACTGGCTAGCAAAGCATTGAACAGAAGTAAAATTCTTCATCATAAACCATAATATAGATATCATACTTGCTTATGAAACCCATTTTACATATTTCCACAACTAAACCAATATTCAAAAGATCACATACAAGCAACCGATATAAGCATAGAGGACTGGCATGGTTTACTGACAGTTTCTGCAATATATAGCCAACCAAGGCATTCAATAACTAGCAAACAATATGAGCAACTGTTTACTACACTTGGCAACAGATTTATTGCGGCTGGTGATTATAATACCAAGTAAACACAATAGTGCTCTAGATTAATAACACTAACAGATAGATAATAACACTAATAGGTAGATAACTATTAAAAGCAACAAAAGCCTTTATTTGATATCAACGGCTGAACCAACCTATTGGTCAACCGACAAAACTAAAATCCCTGATCTTGTTGACTTTGTAATTTACAAGAGAATTCTTACCATAAATTGTCCTCTGATCATTTTCCAATTCTAATCAGCACTGACATATACAAAAAGAACCAGCGCCAAGCTTAGGCAACAAATACACTAATTAGACTAGACGGGATCTGTAAAAATTCAGACCATAATGGACATTTTCCATAGGAAGCTATTTTTTTGCTGGAATCCCTTCAGAATGGGCCTCATATCGATAATCACGATATGCGCCAGTCGCAAAGCCTGTGCTAAATTTTTTATTTAACGAAATCTGAAAATAATTGGAAATTTCTCATTTTTTTGCTCCTATTTTCGTTTATAATTTGGAAAATATTGATTCTAGAGTAAAAATTATGAGAAGTTAAAAGTTTCGTTATTCAATTTTACCCAATGTGTCGTTAGATAGCAAATTGAAAATTTAATGTTTATTGTTAAAAAACTAGCAATAATTGGAAAAAAAAGTACAAAAAAATTAAGTTAATCCTTTAAATGTTTACGACTTTTTAAACTTGGCTTACAAGCTCCATATTTTGCCTAGAAAAACTTTTTAATATGTTTAAAACGTGTGCTAAATTTTTTTAAGATCGATCGGATAGGTTTTGCATAATAATTTTGCAATCCAGCCTACTGAAAAAAAAAATCGCAAATTTTCAAATTTATAGTAGGCCCTAAATAAGGCTCTCAGATAGTTGCAGTTTTTTTTACATATAAAGGAAGGCTCAAACTTCCAAACGCTTCTTGTAAAATTCAAATCGGTTCATTAGAAGAGCCTAGAAAATTTGATAAAGTTTTAAACATTTTTTAGGGTTATAAACAAATTGAATAACTTTACGAGCTTTAAACATATCATTTTTTAATCAAAATATATTCTCAAATCAAATAATGTCATTATTATGATAAAACTGCAGAAATTAATTATTTTAAAAAGTTTGATTTTTACAAAAAAAAAATTCGTTCGCCTTTGTTCTAACAATTCAAATTATTACTGTTATTATATATTGTTACTTTTAGTATATATATAAATATTTATTTATATAAATATTATTTATAAATTGATAATAAATAATTTGAATGGTTAAAACAAAGGCGAACGAAATTTTTTTTTTGTAAAAATCAAACTTTATAAATAATTAATTTCTGCAGTTTTATCATAATAATGACATTATTTGATTTGAGAATATATTTTGATTCGAAAATGATATGTTTAAAGCTCGTAAAGTTATTTAATTTGTTTATAAGTCTAAAAAATGTTTAAAACTTTAAAACAATTTTCTAGGCTCTCCTAGTGAACCGATTTGAATTTTAAAAAATAGGTTTGAAAGCTTGAGCCTTCCTGTATACGTAAAAAAATTTGCAACTATCTGAGGTCCTTATTTAGGTCCTACTATAAATTAGAAAATCAACGATTTTTTTCCAGTAGTCTGGATTGCACAATTATTATGCAAAACCTATCCGACCGATCTTAACAAAATTTAGCACACGTTTTAAACATATTAAAAAGTTTTTCTAGACGGAATATGGAGCTTGTAAGTCAAGTTTAGAAACTCAAAAACATTTAAAGGATTAACTTTATTTTTTTGTACTTTTTTTTCCAATTATTGCTATTTTTTCAACAATAAACATTAAATTTCCAATTTCTAGCTAACGAAATATTGTATAAACTTGAATTACGTAACTTTTAACTTCCTATAATTTTTTTTCTAGGATCAATATTTTCCGAATGAAAAACGAAAGTAGGAGCAAAAAAAATGAGAGATTTTCAATTGTTTTCAGATTTTGTTAAATAAAAAATTTAGCACAGGGTTTGCGACTGGCGCATATCGTGATTATCGATATTGGGCACATCCTGAAGGGATTCCAGCAAAAAAATAGCTTCCTATGGAAAATGTCCAATCCAAAACCGATCCCGTCTAGACTATAATAGGAATTATTTTTCATTGGAACACGGAAGAACATATTTAACAAGATCGATACCGAAAGCGATATGAAAGAATTGACGAAAAACATAATGAAAGCTACTTAGGCTTACTGGAACTATTGTCACAATATGATCAATTTTTAAAAGATCATTTTAATAAACAAGCAAGTTTAGGTAAGGCAAAACGTCATATCTATCAAAAGATATATGTAATGAATTACTGAATGTTTTATCTATATTGTCCAATCGAGTCATTGATGAAATTGTAAGGCAAATTAAGGCAAACAAATACTATTCTATAAGTGTAGATTTAACACCTGACAACACACCACGACCAACACCGTGATTTTGAGATATTGTAACAATAAAGGGAATCCCGTGGAAAGATTGGTGGAATTGTATAAAAACCTTGGGCATAGTCCAGAACTTGAGGAAACAGTTATTGGTATTGTCACCGCAGGGGACGTGATAAAAAGTTTTAACGTCAATCATCTGCCTCTGGGTGCTCTGTACAGAGCTTCGAGAACGTCTACGAAAGCACCTCTACCCAAGTCTATTTTCTGGGTACAGACTTGTAGAAATTTCAGCTGATGTACCCGTCTTGAAAAAGACGGGTTATTTCTTACACGACAAAAAATATTTTAGTCGAAATAAACCATCAGGTTCTCTTCTCTCGGTGACTTGCCTTAATAAAGGCAAGTTATTTCTTACATAATCAAATGAAGGTCGAAATAAAATACCAATGTACTGTAGAATAACTCAGCCACAGAGTAAAGGTAGGGCTAAAAGAAAAGCAGAGCCCCGAGAGCACTAAGCTCTCGGAGAGCCCGTGAAGGACTGACTTTTTGAAGTAGCGATTAGGGATTTCCAGGTCAGGGAGGGGCCAACGGGAAAAATAAGGGGCGGGGCGATGCGTCTCGAATGTGAACTAGTCGCGTCCGAGAACAGTATAGAGTCTGAAATTAGATATTAAGAACTGTAGAGGCCAGTCTTATGACAATGCCAGTAATATAAGTAGCAAGTATTCTGGTTTGCAAGTACGTATTAAAGTTTACAATGATTAAGCTCTCTTTGTACTTCTTTTGTGTTAAACCGACACTGGACCTAATCATCATCATCATCCAGCCTCTATTTATCACGTCCACTGCTGGACATAGGCCTCCCTTAAACTCCTCCATTCCTCACGATTTTGTGCTCTTTGTTGCCAATTTTTAGTGATACGCCTGATGTCGTCGGCCCAACGTGTAGGTGGTCTTCCTCTACTGCGTTTGTCTGCTCTTGGCCTCCAATTTGTAATTTTGCTCGTCCATCGTGAATCGTGCATTCTCGCTACATGGCCTGCCCAGTTCCATTTTAGTTCCGCTATGCGTTCCACAACTTCAGTAATACTCGTCCTTCTTCGCAGATCTTCGTTTCTTATTCGGTCCCTCAACGTCACTCCCAGCATAGACCGTTCCATTCGTCTCTGTGCCACTCTCAGTTTCGAAGCCCTGGTCTTGGTTAAAGTCATAGTTTCCGCCCCATAAGTCATGACCGGTAATACGCATCGGCCAAACACTTTTCTTTTGAGGCTGATTGGTATGTTGGCCCTAAGTGTGTCTCGCAGTTTTCCAAAGGCTGCCCATGTTAAAGTAATTCGTCTTTGGATCTCACATGTTTGGTTATCCCTGCTGATTCTTATTTCATGACCCAAATACGTATATTTCTCCACCAGTTCTACCACTTTGTCTTGAATAGTCAAATGGTTATTGGGGACCAAATTTGTCATAAACTTACTGGACCTAATAGAGTGTGCATAATAATGCTGTAGGTAAACGCTGTAGATAAAAGCTGTCTGTGACAAACAATTTTAATTTTGCAATAACTATTAGGGGAAACTTCTAAAGCTTAAGCTCTTTAAACTTATTTTAATAGCTGAATACATGACAATGTGATATTGTGCCTGTTATCACGCAAGATTATTTTTTTTTGTATTTTAGAAAAGTTTTAGAAAAATAATTTTCAAAAAATCTAGTTTTGAAGGTATTTTTACAATTATTAAGCAACAAATTAACAAAAAATAGCTACATCTTCTCATTTTAAAGGATTTTTTATGATTTTTCAATAAAATTATGTCACCTTTCTATAATTTGCTGGTGTTCACCTTTAGTATTTAAAATTAAATAGCGATCTTATATAGTTTACATACCTAATGTTTATGAGTAAAAAATGACGAATCTTTTGCATATTTTTATTGTTAGAGGAAAAACT